AACTATATCCTATACAGGAGAGGGCACCTAAGACAGCACTAACTCCTAGGCATGCTCTACCCCCTTCCTATCCCTAGTCTACTAATGCAGCACCTGTGTATTGATTTCAAGGATTTTCCCTAGGATTAATAGGGTTATAATTAGATTATGGTTATTATTAATCGCCTATTAAAGCAAGCTATTACTATCCCTTGCTATAAAACTATAGACGCCTAAGGTATAGCTACCTTATTTGTTTAGTGGGTGTACTAATTTAGACATACTCTAGATACTATTGTTTCTAATTAAGGCCCTTAGTTTGTATCTAGTTTCTAGTCTAAGTTCTGTTAGATTATAGGCACTAAAGTTAAGCTCTCTACTAACCCTACCCACAAATAGACTAATAGACAAACTAAGATTATAAATAAGTATATTAACTAGAGACTAAGGCCTTTTGTATCCTATTACTAGGATAACTAGAGCGAGCTACTACCTATAATAGACCGTGCCTAAAGTACTCTTCTATATTTATCTATTAGCATAGCTCTATATTAGCTCCTCTTTAGTTCCTTACTAAAGCAAAGTTAGCATTAGAAACTAGAAAAGACCCTATCTACTATACTAGAGAAACTAAACCACAAGGATGCCTTATCCCTTGCTACTTAGATGCACAACACTTAGAAGATTGCTAAAGAAAATATAGAAAGAGCTTAAGACTAAATGCGCTCTGCTACTAATTGCTATTACTATCTAGTTAACTAGAAGGTTAGTAACTATGTTTATCTATCTACTACTAATCTTGCTATTTTACAACCTAGCTAAAAACTATCTAAACAATAGGAAGGTCCCTTTAAGGTATTAGAACAAGTAGGAAACGCGTATTGCCTCTAATTACTACCTAGTTCTAAGATCTATAACGTTTTCTCTCCTAATATACTATGCAAAGATCCCTAAGACCTATTACCTAGATAAGAGGCTCTAAAACCCCCTAGTACCCCTATATAAGGTGTAGAGGAATAGGAGGTGGAAGAAATCCTAGCTAGCAAATTATACTAATCTAAGCTAAAATATAAGGTTAAGTAGGTTAGATATAATCCTAATCCTATTTAGTATCCTACCTCTAACTTTATAGGTGCTCCCTATAAATTACAGGCATTCTATTAATAGTATCTAAATTAGCTAGGTCCCCTACGTAGCTTACTAAAATAGATTTAAGCCTAGGAAAAAGGTAAAGAGGATCTAATATTACTTTACAATAATCACGCCTAATACTAGAACTAATTTATATCCTATTTAGCTACGTATTATCTATTAACTACTATCTATTACTATTATTCTTGTTGCTATTTATTATTATATCCTATTTAGAACCTTTAAGGTTCCTAGGATACTACCCCTAGGAAACCTCTTTATTCTATATCTATCTCTCTATTAGAACCTAGTTTAGACTCTATATTAGCTAAGATAGCGCCTAGACTATCCTTCTTTGCTAGCTTCTAGACAACTAGTGCAGCAGGGATTAGGGCGGGTGCAGGAGTAGTAGTAGGAGCTAGAGCTAATTTAGACGCTTTCTTGTAGAACGTTTTTATCTTAGCCTAGACTAGGAAAGTTGCCTTCTAATTTAGTGCTAATTCCTCCTTAAGCTTATTAATAGCCTTTATTAAGCCCCTAACTACTAAGACTATCTTATAAATACTATTCTAAAGCTAACGTAAATTAGATATAGTAGTATAATAGGTAGCTATAAGGATTTTAGTAGCTTCTATGCCCTTAGTCTAAGTATTAGTAATAGTAACGCACTTAGCAAGGTTTTAGGTAGTTTCTTAAATAGTAGCCTTAAACTGCTTAATATCCTTCTAATAGGCAACCACAGCTTCCTTATCCTTATCCCCTTTAGCAGGGTTTCTAATTAGGCTATAGTATTCTTCTAGAGCACCCCTAAGGGTAGAGTACTCTTAGCTAATAAAAGAAGGAATCTACTAGGATTAGTAAAGGAACCCTATTAGACTTAGACACTTACTAGATTATAATACTTATTCTAGGAGATATAGTACTAGTACTTCTTAGAATTCTTTAACTTAAAATTAAAATTATTAAACCTACCCCTAGCTAGAGCCCTAACTACTCTTATATAGAGAGCGCGATAAGCAACTAGAAGGACTCCTAGTAGTACTAGTACTAGCATAGCTAAAGGTTCTAATTTAGATTAGTAACTATTTAATTATATAGATTAAATACTTACTAGATTTTAGATAGATTAGGTTAAATAATTAAAAAATTAGGGATATAGGAGTAAGAAAGTTAGTAGGTAGAGGGCTAGTTATAGGCAGGCTAGGGATAGGGGTCTGTGCCCTAAGAAGAAGAAGTAAAGGTAAAGGCAGAGGTAAAGGTAGATTTATTTTGCAAAAGCTCTTCTTTAAAGAGGGATCTAAACCTAATCCTAAGGATAGGGACTATCCTTTCTCTATAGGAGGGGGTAGTGTAATAATAAGGTAGAATTGCCTGCCTATTATTCTATACTAAGTCTAGTCTAATAAAGGCCTGACTTACTAATATATATAGAGAACAGCTCGCCTATAGTTAGAATAGGCATATTCTTCTTGTCCTTTCGTACAAGACCTATAGGTGTAGGAATCTTATCCTTTTCTGTACAGACGCGCACTCCTATATGCCTTTGAGTCGTATAGGATACCTTTTGGATGCCCTACCTACCTAAGTTGTTACAGTATCTTAATCCTAATTAATCCTAATTAATCCTAATTAATACCCCTATATAACCCACTATTTAATTAACTACTAGCTTACTACTAAGTGCCTAATAAAAAGTAGGAGCTCTAGTAAGGAAGGTTTACTAATTATTCACCTTCTAGTAAGGGTAGCTAAAGCTCTATATATATAAGTACAATCGTAGTAGATATAATCTAATAATCCATCTCCCAAATCATTCCTAACCTTAGTGATCCAAATTTCCACAAGAGCTTTATAAGATACCTAGTTATAAGATTTTAACCTATTATAATACTAAGCTTTCTTTATAGGATTACTAAGTAGGTAAATAAGCTATACCCTAGGGGTATCCTAGCTTAAGGAGGTGTTTAATTATAAGATAAAAGCTAAAGCTTATACTTTATACTAGCTTCTTATTCTTAATAGCTATAGATCTTATATAATAATAGAGTTTATTAAGTACTATAATAAATATAAGATCCTACTTATAATATATCCCTCTTATAGTACTTATACCCTTTAGCTACTTAATATTATAGTATTTGCTCCCTTTATAGCTTTATATAAAGCTTAACTATCTAGTTTTCTAGATAGCTTCTAAGGGCTTATAAGTATTACTAAGAGGGATTTCTACTAGTTATTTAATACTATATAAAGTAATACCTTTAAGGAAAAGCTAATATTAATAGCTTTTAAAGTAATAGGTATCTTACTACTTAACCTTAATATTATTCTTTTAAGGTTTAAAGCACCTATAAATAATAGTAACTAGCCTTTTTTAAGTAATAGTATAACCTTAATATTAAGTATAAGTAATTAAAGAAAGATAGAGTAGTTACTCTATAATACTATAATTAATATCTATAATAAATAGTTAAAGAAGCTTAGCTAGATAATCTATACTATATTAGTAAGAAATACTCTACTTAACTATAAAAATAAATACCTAAGGGCTACCCTAGCTAATATAAAGAAGCGTAGGAAGTGTAGTAAACCTCTATTATTACCTCCTAATAATAATTATAGTAGTAGTGCCTAATTTATTTTACTATTAAAGGTAGAGTAAGTATTTAAGCTCTAGAAGTAAAAGAACCTTAAAGAATAAGAGCTATAATACTAAAAAAGTAAGGTAATTAAGCTTTATAAGTAATAGAAGCTTACTAAAGCTTAACTTATAAAGGAGTGTTACCTAAATTAAGTAATTACTAAGAAGGAGTAGAAAGAGAAAGCTACCTAAAAAGCTACTATATATAATAAGTAGAAAACTACTAAATAACTAGAAAAGTAACTCTAAAATAATATTAAAATATCCTAAATAGATAAGAGGTAAATCCTTAAGCCTCCTACTATTATACTAGCTAAGGTAGTTAATAAGGAGCTAGTAGAAGAGGATATAGTAGTAGAGGTAACTTTATAGCGTAGGCGCCTAATTAGACCCTCTAAAAAGCTACTTATATAATCTAAAATATTTAATCTACTCTAATAGATCTAATAATCGCGACTCTAAGAAATCTTGTAATAATAGCTATTGTGGGTGGCGCAATATCCTTATTTAGTGGGTGGTGGATTTTGGTGTTGGTGGGCGCTTGGTGGGGGTGGGCGCTCGGTGGTGGATCACGTTACTACCTTGCATGTCTCAATCTCCTCCGACTTTCCTTGGGCAAATTCCTTGTGCGGTTTGCTCGTGTCTTGTCCCCACCCGCCAGCCGCGGATAAGGGACATGGCTCTGCTATACAATTGGAACCGAGCTCAGCCCTGAATTCATGTTATCATAATCTGGAAAGAATCGCGAGGTTACAGAAATCAAAGCGAGGGTGGTATGATCTTGAAGGAAGGCCGGCGGCGCACTACTATTATGCATGTTAGGAAAGTTGCCTCACGAGTTGCATTCATGTGATTTTGCGCAGCTTGGAGGTCATGCGTACCGGTACAGCAAGTTTCCTCATCTCGCCGCAACTAACCACTCTGGTAGAGGTGGGCATGGTGTGTTTGCAGACCTTCCCATTTCCAACAAAGACGGGCACTTTATTGTTTCTCTCGTGGGCAGAAAGGTCTTTAATAACCTCGGAATACCTTCAAGGCAGATTTCATGCCGTATATAATTGAGGGAAATTGCATACTGAGGTTGATATTGACATTCTGGTCATCAGCGATTAGAGGGATTTTGGTTGTGGCCGAAGAAGGAAAACTGCGAGATAGGTATAATACAGAGGTCAGAAAAATCCCGATTTGTTCATTCAAACTTGAGCCCAAGCTTGGGAATAATCAGGATATTAATTTCATGTGCCACTTTCTACGTGGACGTAGTACTTGCATCCAACGAGATCTTCCTGGACGTTGCTCGCTCAAGAGACTCCAGAATATCTACAAACTCTTTCGTGCGGCCCCAGGCCATGGATACAGACGCCAGGATCCTGCGTCCCTCTTTCAAAATCTTCATTGGGCCTTTGGCCGCATACATGTCTCCAACGCCAGTGATGTTTGCTCTCATATTTGAAGGTATACCAGAAAGCACAAAAGATTGTACCATTTCGTCATCGTTGGGGCGATCTAAATGGATGAATGTTGGTATTGGCTGTGCATTCGAGGCGAGAAATGTATTTTCGGTTGATTCATCATCTGACATGGACCCATCGCGATGGTTTGTGATGGCTGTTCTCGATGTATATGAGCAGTATGCCCACAGAGTGAGCGTTGCCAGATAAACCGAAATAGGCTCATAAAACGCTTGACAGCTATAACGTCGAATGTGCCAGAAAAGACATCCGCAATGCAATACTGCGAGTCGGGCTTTGTACTGGTCTCGCTGTGCCCAATGCAAGATCTTGCGTTCAGCGTCAATAGCTTTCTCAATTGACGCTATTGTATGCTTCTCAGTTGGCTCTTCTCGACCGGCAGCTGCAATGGAGGCAGCTAACATTTGGATTTCTTCAAAGGGAGCCAGAAGGACTGTCCTCGCCAAATGAAGATGAAGCACAGTCGGATGCTCAACACCATAATTTTGTGCAATTGTTCCATTCGCTGCCCAGTGAAGGACATCTACACAATCGAGGGAGGCGTTACGCCAACTACTGAGCAATGATGAGTCCGTATCAGATCCGTTTGTAGGAGTATTTGCAGGTTGCACTGCGGGGACGCAGCTGCTCAGTGGTCTTGCGAAGCAGTCCTTGAGTTGGAATATTTCCCGATATACGCCATGTAATAGCAGAACACGACTGAATTGGTCAAGATCGGCTGAGACGTGCTTCTTCGTGAAGATCTGTACCACGGCTGTGCACAGTGATGGTACGTCTGATCGCAATTGAGAGTACGCGCCGGAGTCGCCTGAAGTCCTTCTCAGAAAGCCTCGCCAATCTTCAGTACTTTTTGTTGCCCACAAGGCGTCTTCGGGTAACGGGCATTGAGTAATGGCCAATGGCATGAGCGGACGCTGTGAGAAATGATATATTGACATGCAATCGATAAGCTGTTTGTCTGTCAGTTTCAGAACTCTCGTCTCAAAGGAGAACGTACCCAGATGGCATAACCACATCGGCGTTTGCATTCGGCCATGAGCGCCGATCTCCAAGCCAAATTTTGCGATTCCGTACTCTCGATTCCTTGTGATGTGGGAAGACTGGCTGAAGGGCTTAGGAAATCTGACGACAATGCCAGCTCTACAAGAACTCCGTGTTGAGCTCTAGCTCCTTTGACTAGATCGGGAGACCCAAAGTAGACCATGCCAAAATGATTCAATATTCGAGCCTGTGCCAATGCGATATTGTCAAATCCTAGTCTTGGAGCATTCTTCGTTTCTGTTTCGGCAATGATACCTCTCCGGAGCATTTCGTGAAGTGGTACTACACAAGCAGAGAATTCCTCGGAATCCATGTATTGGCACCCGATGGCGCAAACACCGAGTGCCAGTAGCCAGTGCTCATTCAAATCGGCCACTTGAACGTGCAGTATTGGTACGATTTTATCGAAATTGTCGAAGTAGAGTTGTGTACACAAATTGAGAGCAGCGTGGCTCAGGAAATGGTCGATAGCAAATACTGAGAAATGATCATCGACGTCTGAACAAAGCTGTCTGTATCGTTTGCACAATTGCTCAAACATTTCTACTGTCAATCTCGGATGAGATTTCAATGTCTGGACACTTCCCACCAGTATATGGTCGGTTCGCGGAAGTCGTATACGACCGTTCTGGGAATGTACGTGGTAATCTGGGTCCGTTACAAGTTTCATCGGGGCTGCACCGGGCATAGCGTGTTTTGATTTCTTGCTCCATTTTGTACAGGGCAATCTGGCACCATTGGTACTTGTGGCATACAGACCGACAGAGGTAACGACTGATGATACCGTGTTGGTAGATGATCTGGACGACGTACAAGACATACTTCTCGAGCTCATTTGAGAGAGTGTCGTTTCCCACGGTGGGTTGAGGTGATTCGTCCGAAGGATGTGATTCATCTCATGTGGCGAATTGTGCGATGTTGCTGGGATATGAGGTACTGGATAAGCACCGGTATGGTTCATGAGCTTTGGGTCCTGCGGATCGTTGACAGGTGTTGGGCCGGGAAAGAGCCCCAATGAGTTAATGTCCATGCCCAAGATACTGTCGTAATCGATTGAGATCGAGTCGTCCATGGGCAGCCAATTGATTGAAAAGTCGATGGGTATCTGCGGAGCAATGTCGACCATGTGAACGACATTTGCGACTCCTGACGGTTCAAGCAAATGTAGGGATGCATCTCGGTGATTTTCAATCTGCAACTTGCGCGGTCCTATCGAATACGCTGGGCACTCATCAGATGCGGCAATGGCGGCACTGCATTCTGGAGTTTGACCCTCTATGGTTGAACTTTGCGCGAAAGAATTGGAAGGCGATATGGCTACCTGTTTGAAAGGCAGCGGGGACTGTGAATTCCCCAAGTCTGAACGACTCTTGGGGTATTTGCAACAAAGCTCGCGTACAGAGCACCTTTGACATGGCTTGCCTTTGGAGCATCTTTCTCTGGCCTTTGCACATTCGAAACAAGCTCGTTTGGTCGCCAAGTTCCCATCGTGAGACTGTGCAGCGGCAGCGTGGGCGGCCTCATGACGTCGCAGAATATCGCTATCACAAAGGTCAGTGTCGCTTATGCCTAGTCTGGATTACGGGATATACCTTCGCGTGAATACCTTGGGACACTGTGGACACGCAAATCGGATCTTGTCATCGTGAATCCGCTCATGTCTTTTGAGATGCTCCAACCGTTTAAAGGTACGATTGCATCTCGAGCAACTCTTGTAATTCGAATCTCTTTGTTGGGATTCCATGTCGGCGAGGCATCAAATAGCAACCCCAGCGTCGTTGGTTCAGGAGATTCTGTGGATAGTGGATGCATGTCCACGGCGGGAGGAATACGAAGGGACGTGTCCCCGACAAGTCGGAGCCGAGACACGATGCAGGCTTGACAACACGGCGACTTTAACGAACGCGGAGGCGGCCCAGGCGTGAAAGGCTTTCGTATCGGACACCCCCATACCCCGCAGCCTTGTTGTAGTCGTGACACAACGGGTTAGCTGCCGATCTCATTCCTGTCAACTAGGTTGGTTCTGGAGCATGTTGGCGGAACCCGACACTTGAACGAGACTACCGGTACGCTACCTCTACCGGTACTCACGGTCGGATTGCCCTCCGCTGGTAGATGGTTGAATCTACAGTGTTTGCTGCCCCTGAACAGCAGAGCATAAGATTCGCACATGGTGGCAGGGCAAATGTGATGCAATCTGTCTTTGTACATCATTCAGTCGAGTAGTTACCGTACAGTGCCCTATGCCTGGGACGCAGGAATCTAGTGCTATACACAGCAGATACTGCCTCTCTACCAGGCCTCTCGACTACCTAGGCCTCTACTATACTTCCAATCCACCAGTCCTTCTGATACGTCAAAAGCTTCATCTTTGCACCATTAGACGGTTTCATCTCGTTGCCCCATTAGACACTTTCTTGGCGTCCGTCGGTGATCCTCACGTCGCCTTCATGTCCGATAGTCTCGTGCTGTTCCATGCTGGCTTGGGACATGAGTTCCGACTTTTTCAAGTCAACCTGCAGCTCACCAGCTTCGACAGCATCCACTTCACCAAATATTGTGTCCATTCTTTCCAGTGAGATACCCTTGGTCTCGGGGAGGATAAAATACACCGAAATCTAAGCACCGTGCGTTAGTAGCTTCTCAATGCAATGCTTCAGGTTAGACTTGTCACTTACCAGACACAGAGTGTTGAGTCCTGCGAGAAGCCAATAACTCTTACCACCCACCTGTGCACTCAGTGTAGGCCATGGTTGCGTCAAAGCCAGCAAACAGACAGTCTGACCAAGTAGAGAGAAGCCAAAGGCTTTGTCACGGACTTCTTGGGGGAAGATTTCTGATGCTATGGCAGGCGGAATCGGCCCATTGGACCAACAGTAAGTGAGACCCACGATGAAGAGCATGGCTACCTCGACAATGGCAGCCGAGCTGTTCTTGTTATCCGGGAACGCCGTGGTCAGCGAAGAGAGTATAAACAGTGCCATGGCCTGAATAGCAAATCCAGCCAACAAGAGCGCCCTTCGTCCATAGCGATCGACCGTGAAGGTGTTGACAAGTACAATGACAAGCTGGAGTGCAGCCTGAATGCCGTTGATAGATAGTGCCTGACTACCCTTGTCCCATCCCAGGGATTTGTAGATGATTGCTGCATACATGGTGAGGGCTGCAATCCCACCTGCTTGTTGGAGCGCCGTCGCATATAGACCCTACAGCAGACGCTTTTGTATGCCCGCCGACTTGAAGAGCCCTTTGTAGCCAGTGTCGAATTTTGAACGTGCTTGATGGGCAGCAATCAGCTCATTGAACTCGGTGCGAACGTGTTCCGAATTTGGAGTTCCCATGCGAAGCTTGCAGAGGACTTTCATCACACGATCATGATTGTCTGGTTGCTTCTCAAGGAGCCATCGAGGGGATTCTGGATACCAAAAGCTGATGATGACGAAGGCGATTCCAATAGGGACCTGGACAAGCTTGGACACACGCCAGGCGACGTTGTAGGGCGACTTGTGGAAGCTCATGCCGTAGCCTGTCCAGAACGCAATCAGGGTGCCTAGCTGGTAGCCAAATTGATTGACTGTTCCGACAAAGCTGCCACACAAGAGTCGAGGTGCACACTCGGCCACATAGAGCGATATAGCAATGTACACACATCCAAATCCAAGACCCGTCATCAAACGACCCAAGATCAACACGCCATATGTGTTGGGTACACTTTGAACAACAACGCCGAGAATCATAAAGGAGATCGAGATGCGGACAGCCCAACGTCTTCCAACAAGGCTGGCAAGAGTACCGCCGACGAAGAGTTGTGCTAGACCCGTTGTCGCCCATGGGACAGTGGCAATGGTTCCAGTTCGTGTTGCATCGACATTGTAGTACTCTATGAACTGTTCATCCGCCAGAATGACCGTCATGATACCTTGTTCGTTAGTCTCGTGATTCTGAAAAGGGGTGGGATATTTACCAGCATCGTAGCCGTTGAAGCAGGCTGCCAGCACCATTCCATATAGCAAGAGGGCTGCATAGCGGTCAGAAGGAGGGAGGAAGGTCTCCAAAAGACCCATTATAAATATCTTGTGATTAGACTAGGAATTGGCTTGTAATGCTCAGCTCCCTGATGATGAGTTTTTCTCTTCGATGTACTGGAGGAAAGCAGTCTTATTCGCAAGCAGCCATATTCGCCAAACGATCTGGAGCATCTGGGAAAGACAAGCTACATGGCCAGAAAGATGACATGGCTGGAAACATCAGCTAACTCGCGGGTCTAGTTGGACCCTAACTAACACTTGGGTCTCCGGTACTCGCTCGATTTCCGCGGTCGACTGCCGTGGTGGGCATGGTGGTACATTCAGCTCCATCAACCGGTGGGCGGGAGTGCTACTAAGGCGACGGTACGAGATCCCGTGACCTCCATTCGCCATCTTCCCACAAGAACTTGTAATGCTGTGGACATTGTCTTAGCCAATTGAGATGATTCGCGTAGTTATTACAAGACCAAGAACCCGGGAATTCCACCGAAGTGTAAGTATTGCTCGTTGGCAGCTTACTTACCACAGGCATGTACTTGTTCATGTACCAATGAGTTACTTCAGCCAGACACGGAGATTCGCGGGGTCTAGATTTGCACATGCTCATGCTCCGGTGGATCACTCGTCTGCATTCCACACATTAGTTGCGTAGTACATCAAGCGACGTCTAAGTATGATGAGGGTTTCGAGAACCAAGTGCTCTCTGGTTACGTTCTCCTAAGTTCTACCTGCCTATACTCTCATCAGGTTTGATCACAGTCAACACTTCGCAACACTACTTTCACCGGGGACATATTCGTATCGAACAAGCGCGGCCACGGTCGCTCAAGTCACACTTATGACACAATTTGAGCAATCCAGATCTACAGGGCGATATGACGGTTGTGAATTGAATTCTCATTACAGGTATGGTATAACGACAAATCTGTTTGGTCGGTGCCGAAGGATTCGTTCAATGACAGGGACTTTGCACAGTGAATTGAAAGCGCATGTCGTATCCTTGTAGGTCACTACAGCAACAAAAATTAATCATGTCGCTCACTATACAATACAAATTATCAGCAGTGCTCAACAAGAGGATAGCTATATCGATGTCCATTATACTTTGATTGACCTTGAGGTCAAGTGGTCGAACCTACCAGACATGCATGAGCTGTATGCTGATAGATCAATGCTATCTAATCATCATGTACTGACTTCATGCTCCTCGAGAGAGAGGGAGTTCTTCTTCCAATAACAAAAGGGAGTACCAATCCATCGAACCACGAAATTCATATTTTCCCTCAACTTTCGTTTCCATACTCACGTATTTGTTCCTTTTGAGCAGCAGGTTAGCATGTAAGAGCGACTCAGCTCGATCTTGATAGCTAATGCGAGAGAAGTGCAACGTCAGCTATTCGAGAGGCCCATGTCTGATTTGGTTGAATGTCATGTACCTAAGATGAAGATAGAATCTAATCTATTCTGTAACGACGTTACTACACCTCTATACAATCTCGGTCAATTTCTCAACCCCTGTGACTGCTCTCGCCTATCGTAATGTGTACATGTCCTATACTCAAGATGCGCATCTTGAAAATGAAGATGATTGCACTAGACAAAGGATATTGGAAACAGAGGCCGAGGATGAAAGAGGCGTGATGACGTCATCAATCGGCCTCTCTTAGGCGTCGCGGCACGGCGCGTTGCTGACCTCAGGTTGGAGGCTGGCACGGCTTGTCATCATCCCTCACTCCCGCACCTTGGTCGCACAGAAACACGTCCACCTCGATGCGCCAACCTATCCACAACCAACCGATTGATGAACACCGGTCCTCTGCCGATAGGACGACACCAAGTCCATGCGATACTTTACCAGCGTTTAGGATGGTCTCGACTGAAGAAGATTAAGCAACGACCACTGCGCGTGATCTAGTTTTCCAAAGCAACGACGAGTACATAATCCCAAGGGTGGGCTGATGACACGTGGACAGGTATGTAGTAATGGCGCTGACAGGAATCCTAACGCTGGAATCTACATGTTGGATTTCAGCTGGGTGTACCGGTAGCATGTAGTCTACGGTAGTAGACTGCGAGTACTCGGTTCAGCCGCTCACGCTTTCACATAGGGCCTGGCGACATCCAAGCGGGAGCCCTTGACCACGATTCTACGCCAACAACCGACAGGATCCGGAAGTACCGGTACGTCTGAGTCTACCTATCTTGCCAAATGGTCCTGCCGCTGGCCGACGACTGCGATGACTGTGTACCAGAGTATGCGCAGAGAAGGCCGACGACGGTGGCCATATCTGCGCTGCCCTTTCTCTTGACCTTTCTCGTCGTCGCGTCGGTAGTCTCGCAAAAGCTGTTCCCTGCACTATCTCGAGATGCGGAGCGGAAGGCGCATCATGCCGGTACACTGTCCCAGGATTCTGTTACGCGATCCAGGGCGTCCATCCTCGCCCACCTCCGACCGAATGGACGGTCTCTCGCAAGCATCATCTTTTCGACAAACATTGGCCTGTCTGCCGTACTGGCCGAATTGATCTTTTGCGAAATTTCCAATACTGCGAACCGCGCGACTCGAACACTGGCCCTCAAGATCACACTGCCCTTACTACTGTTCCTACTCATCGTCGCGACGCCTGCTTTTGAGATTCACTCGATCATCTCGGGGACTGGGCTGAGAGCTGGCGATGCGCAACGTGGGCGAAGAAGGATCGCTTGGGTGCTGGAGCTGTGTGGATTGACGGCATGGCTCGCTGCATTCTGGTACCTTGGACGAGGACTACTGGGATCCTATCTACACGAGGAGTCGTACGTGCATGAACATACGTTCACGGAGGGGTGTCTGGAGCGTATTGGCATCATTGGCATCAGTCTAATGGCCTCGCTCGCCGGATTTGCGGCTATTTCATCGCTCTGGCAGACATTCGGCGTCAAATACCGTCCGGTAAGTGCGCATGCATGCATGCCACCAGGGCAAGCACTTGAGCTCCTGTGTACTGACCTACACCAGGTTTCTGACGCAGATATCGGCCGCAAGCAAGCAGGCATACAAGCAACCAACGACATGCTCCTGGTCAAAGAGAGCCGTCTGCGCGCAGTCGAGCGCAAGCTTGCGGACAACCCGCAACAAGGTTTCATGGGCCGCGTCGTAGGCACACTCCGCGGCAACCCGGACGTCCAAGAACGCAACACGCTACAACTTGAGATCCAAGGGCTGGAAACCATGCGCAGCACTCTGCAAAACTCGCTGGCCGTGCTGCAGAGTCGACGACAGTCGCAGCAACGGTCCCACACAGCCCATGGCCGCATTCTCAACATGGTCTCCTACCTCTTCGCCCTCTACTGCGCCTATCGCATCGGGGCCACCACCGTTTCCACGCTCCGTCGCTTCTCCTCGCCCACGGCGAGTTTTGCCTCGAGCGACCCGATTAACAATTTCCTGGCGGTCTTGGCAAAACACTGGGATCCGACCCTTGACCGCGTGGCCTGGTCCCGGACCATCTCCTTCTTGCTCTCCGGCGTCATGCTCCTCTTGTCCTTCAACAGCGTGCTGCAGACCTTTTATCTGTTTGCACGAGTCGTGCCGGGCCTCTTGCACCAGGCCAAGACCAACTTTGCCCTCATCCTATCGCAAATCGCGGCCACATATGTGATTAGTTCTGCGTTGTTGTTGAGGAGCAATCTGCCGCCTGAGATGAAGAATAAGATTAGCGATGCGTTGGGTGCGCCGTTGGAGCCCGCGTTTACCGAGAGGTGGTTTGAAGGATGGTTTCTGGCGAGTTGTGCGAGTACGGTTGTGGGGTTGTGGGTGGGCAGGCGGATGAGAGGGGTAGAGTGGGATGAGGATGATCAAGTGGGAGATGGAGATGTGGAGATGGGAAAGAGGAGTTGATGGCTGGTTTAGATTGATTGTTTCCGGTGGCTTCGCGTGCCCTGTTTCCATGGCCTGGCAGAGCGATTGCCGTTGAAAGGGAATCAATGCCATGATGCATGCTTGTTGGTTTATACAGCACATGGACACTCTGATCACCTTTAACTCCAAGGTGGACAAGACCATTTGACACTTTTTACCTAACCTCTACCTATCTATTAAACAAATAAATAAACAAACAAAAAACCTCCCTTCTCCACACTTAATACCAACGCCCAACCCCATCACCTCACCAATCATCATCATCATCATCCTCATCCTCACCATCATCATCCTCATCCTCACCATCCTCATCCTCACCATCACCAGGCCGCCATGCATCCACCAACCGCAAGACAGCCCAAACACGGCATTTGACGCTCCTTAGCCCTTTACCCCACGTACTCTAGACACGCCCCGATTCGCCGCCCCCGCCCTCACCTCGCCTTCGCACTCTGGTTCTGGGGGCAAAAAGATTGCAGCGTTGTGACGTCAGGGCGTTGTGTAATGGTGGGGCAGTTGCGAGCGAGCACCGGCGTGCAGTTTATAAACTCAAGTGAGAGCCTACGCCGACTGCTTCCTTGCTTTACTCCAACGCGCACTGTTTTTCCGTGTGCAAAAAAACTTCGAGGTAGGTGGTGTGCTGTGCTGTGGTGGTATGGGGGTGGGTGGGTGCTGGTGCAGGATGAAGGAGCTAATGAAAACCCTTTGGGGGGTTTGTAGGTCTCGTTGCATTGATTCTGCAAGAAGAATACCCATCTTGTCCTACAGTGTACCGTCCACATCGAACAGGTACGTACCGCCCTACACTTCACGCCGTACAACCAAACTCTCTCGTCCCCAACTCCCCTCCCCTCCCCTCCAACCCAAACTAATCCACCCACCCTCAGCCTTCCACCCAACCCAACCATCCAACCAACCAACCAACCATCCAACCAACCAACCAACCAACCAACATGTCCGCCCCAAACCCCGGCCGCCAGTCCCCCGAGCCCTCGCGCCAATCCGACGACCAAACCGGTCAGACAGCACACAACATGAAGTCCGGCGGCGGCCCAACCGAGGGCTCCGAGCAGAGCAGCGACAATACCAAGGGTGCGCTGCCTAGCAATCCCAAGGAACAGGTGCTGGACCAGCATGCCAAGGATGTCACGTCCAAGACTGTTGGTTAAGTGGGAGGGCATGGAGAGAGGGAGAGAGGGAGAGGGAGAGGGAGAGAGAGAGAGAGAAGGGACGAGCGATATTGGAGGGGCGGCGAGAGGATGATGAAATATTCCTTGGTCGACACACAGGCCGAGTGAAGGAATGGAACAGCAGATAAAATCGAGACGGGAACCCGAGTTCATGATTCTACCTGTCTTGTTCCCTTGATGCCATTCAATGCACGTCCCACGACCTTCCACCCCCAATTCATGTTACTCTGTCACCAAAGTCATCTACATCAATCCCCTTTGGAACGGATATACTGACCTGACTCGACTCAAAGCCAGAGACTCTATACCAAGAGTGTATCAATAAATGAAAGAAATGATCCGGCCACGCACGCACGCCCCTTGAACCAACATCAACACGGTCACGTAGTTCCCCCTGCCCCCTTGGGTGACACAGGTTCACTCCCCGTTTCCCGCCCATCCTCGCTTGGTTTTGGCGTCCCAGCTCGAATAATCTTATCCACGTAATCCATCGAACTCGTCTCTGACTCCCCCTCTTGACCCAGCTTGACGCTCTCCATCTCCGCCGCCACCTCACCCGTCCCCGTCGTCGATGGTCGTGTTTGCGTCGACATGGCACCTGCATCCTCCTCATCACTAAAACTCGATGCATCGCTCAATTCTGGACTGTCGAGATTCTGCAAATGTGGACTCTTCATCAAGAAGCCGGGACTCTTTGGGTCTTCTGGCAGCGCGCTCGCACCGTTTTCCGCCTCATCATCGCTGCTATCTCGAGCACGCGCCACTTGTGCCAATGGGTGAGTTTCCGTTGTCGGTTTCGGTGTCGTGGCTGCTCCTGGTACTGCAGACGCCTCCTCCTCATTCGCAAAGAAGCTGTTTCGCGGACTGTTGACGTCGTATAGGCTCTCGCTCTTGGCAAGAATGTCGCGATAGCCTTGTCTGTCGGGGTCGTTGGCGCGCTTATTACGGGCCTTGTCGCGTTTCGTCGTGGGTCGCACGACGATGACGGGAACGGGCGAGTGTTGGAGACAGTACTTGGAGACACTACCTGGCAGTAGACCCTGGAAGCCGCCCAGACTTTTGCCTCGAGTTCCAACAACGAGAATGGCAGGTTCGTAAAGGTTGATCTATTCCATGTCAGGTGAGCACTCGTACGACAAGGAAACCAAGCATACCATGTCGTCTATGACCTTGTTCACTTTGCCTATGGAAAACTCTAGAATCAGATTGATGGCCTTGTTGTCGTGATTGCGGTTTTGTATGTCGTTCATGGTGGCCTCTGCCTCTGTGCGGTAGCGCCCCGTCTCGACGCTGCGGTCCCCTGCAATGGCATCTTCCTTTTCCACGACGCGCAGGCATACTATCTCATCGCCGTCGTCGACTAGCTCGTTGATGAGCCATTGGAGGGCATAGACCGAGTATTCATTCTCGTCAAAACCGCAGAGAAAGGTTCGTGATCGCTTGGTGTATTCGTAGTCCTTGTGCTTCCTGATGAGAGTAAAGGAGCTCTCCTCGATGAAGTCGGCGGGCTTGTCAAACGTGTCAAAGGAGACGCGGGGTTGGAAGACACTGGGACGGGAGCAGTCAGTATACGGGCCAGCATCTGGGTGAGGTGCAGAAGACGAACAGGCAGGGCGTAGTACTCTACCGTGCGCGTGCGGGGGACGAATACGAGGAAAGACTTACGGAGGCGGCGGCGGACTCGACAGCCTCCTCTTCTCCCTAGGCTTCGGATTGCCCCTCGGCAGCGACGTGTTACGATGTGCCAGAAACTGAATCGAGGGGCGGCGCGGCTCCTCGTTGTCCTTTGCGCCAGTGGGCAGCAATAGCGGGCTCACCCTGTACTGCGCTGTAGGAGATGCAGGGGAGGCAGGTTGTAACGTGGGGGAGCCGCCCATGCTGGCTGGCATGCTGGGTGGGGTGAAGGAGGATGGCGAGCACTGGGCCACGAGGACGGTGGACAAGCCCAATGGTAGGCGTGCAAGGCGAGTAAAGGGTTGAGTCAGGCACTCAAGGTTGGCCGGCAGCGTGGGAGAGGCGTGATCGGTGGTGCTGCACAACTAACCAGGTGCTGTCGTTGGGGGAGGGGAGAGGCTTGGCGCGGGGGAGCTGATGCGCGGGGTAGCAGTGAATGAAAGGATGGACACGATGGCACGTAATTGTGGGCGATAAGGTAGGTAAACAGCGAAGGGGTTCGGCTCAAGGATGGCGGGGACGTGTGTGATGTGGTGTGGTGTGGTGTGGTGTTGTGAAGAGAGGGTTCTGCATGGTATGGTAGGTAGGTATGTAGTTTGCCTACCACGGTTACCTACCTAGTTACCCGAGGCAGCCAAGTCCAGCAAGAGGGCATGAGGCCCATTCATGTCGACGAGGCCCAAACCTCGTTGGAAGCGGCCCGCATCCCGCTCTGCTTGGCCGTCTTGGTGCCCAGCTGGTGGTCTCCAGGACTTCCAAGGTTGTCTTCAAGTTTCTCTACATGCTAGTACATACTGTAACTCAATCTACCCTGTGCCCTATCCTACCCGACCTACCATCTTTACGCTATCTGTCTACCTCTCGGGCTACATATGATGAGCCTGCGACATCCTCGTCTGCATCATGCGACTCGCATGTGTGACAGTGACCAATCCAGGATCACGTTAAGAGATGGAGTACAAAAGACGAAAGCCATACAAAAGCATGAAGCACGAAAGACGGGTAGGTATCGGTACGTACACTAATAGCCCGGCTCCGTCATTCGCGCATGTGAAATAGAAATGTCCATCTACACCGTATATCGGATACAGTATTTCTTCTGCCCCTCGCTCTTCTTCCCGGCTCTTCTGCAATCCTACTACGATAGGGAGAATGTGCTGCAAATACACTTGGAGTTATTGTTACTATAATACGAGTTAGATAAAAAAAACACTGCACAATCGATGTTGTACAAGAAGCTGTTGCTTTACCCCCTCTATTAGTAATACAAAATCCATAGTCATGGGGATAGCCAGCCATTAGCCTAGAGTAGCACCGACCCAGACATGGAGTCGTTCGTTGGGCAACTTTGAGCAGAATAGTTCACTCTACATTATACCATATCCTGTACTTTTCATGACCCGCACGTACCTTGCTGGGATGTCTTTAGCTGGCTATTTACAGGCCTTGCGCGGAATACATGGACATTTGGACTTTGCTGATCTGGAGCCTTAGCGAGTTGTATCCATGCTAGAGCTGCATCCAAGATCAAAGAATTGTCGCCAAGGACAGCCAAAAGTGTTTGTAGAGTTTTCATCTAGCACCGAATCGAGAAGAGGAAAAGTCAGTCGTCGAGAGTTGAGCAATATCAACACTTTCCATGGTAGCATTCTTTGTATCCTTCTACATAGCAGCATAAAATCTACAATATTAGGACAGCGTTGTAAGGCAATTTCAGAGCCTTAGCTTCCCTGATGATGCTTAGGCAAGGCATTATCTGGAGTTCGTGAGGATCGTCAACATCTCATGTTTCGGTTGGCGCCAGAAGTGCCTAACCCTTTTGGCCATGCTTCAAGAAGTACTACGTCTAGGCAAGACACCGTCCAACTCCCCATATGAACACATGCGGTCAGCACGACATCCACACAGCACCACAAGCTAGTGGTTAGACATTCTAAACCAGAGACTTGACTTCCCCTGCCGTAGCCTTGCCAGCACCAATCAGACGCTGGGCCTCGTCCTTGAAGATTTGGGTAATCTTGCCAGCATCCTTTTCACCATTGAGCTTGCTCGTCAGCTCGGCCAACTCTTCGTGGTCAATTCTTGAGATGATGAGATCGGCATCATTGAGAGCGGCATCAATCTGGGCAGCAGGAGCATCAGCCGCAGCGTGGAAGTAGTTGGCATCCTTGACTGCGCCACGAACGACACGCTTGTTCTTCTTTGCAGCATTCTTTGCAGCTTCCTTGGCCTTCTTGTTGTCTGCCTTGGCCGCCTTTTCAGCCGCCTCCTTTTCAGCAGCAGCTTTGGCCTCTTCCTCCTTCTTCTTGGCTGCCTCTTCAGCTTCCTTCTTCAGCGCGGCCTCCTTTTCGAGACGGCGCTTATTCTTCTGCGCATTTTCGGCCTGACGGAC